ATACTTAATCTTCAAGTTTATTATTGCATTTCGTATCGTGTAACAAATGTTGTGTAAGGGAAAAAAAGGACCTTTGTGTAAAAGGTGCCCTGCGTAATGGCAAAAAATAAGTGCTTGAGAAGCCTCAATAAATATAATAAAAATGTGTAATTCTGAGAGGTGAATGTATTATTTCATCATTGACCTTTCTAAAGTACCCTTCAATGCTTACATCACTCGATACTACCTGCCCGTGCGTACTCTCGTACTTGGATGGCTAACTCAAGACGTGAGAGCGACTCCCAGGAAATGTCACTTTAATTCGATTACAGTACAATGGGCGCTGATATGATCAAATCCACCGCCGTCCACAATGGGCCGACTTTTTTCCCACTCCATTCACAGCCGTTCTCGAATTTATTCCCATTGTGCCTCCTGCCTCCATTTAATGCCAGTTATTTCTACTGTGTCCGTCCCTCGGGTCGTAACTCATTTCTGAAATGACGTTTTCGACTTTTTTTTTTTCCTCTTCTATTAGTTCGAGGCAGTTGTCGTAAATTCCATGGCCATGATGATGGTCGTTGATATCTCAGCGATCTCGGTGTACCTAGTAGTTTTTTGTTCTCCTGACTTTTATAAATCCGCTTCAATTCAAAAATTACCGGCTCGTATTCCAGAAAAGTAACACGACCATTTCATTCAATAATCAAGTCTTCACTAGTGTTCTCACTTGTCAGTGACAAATCCTCGTTTCTTGAACCTCGTACATATTGAAACCCTTTCTCCTTGGGAATTCATACTTGTATGATCGATGTTATTGTTTTATTATTTTTTTAGATAAAAATGAGATAAGGGATTTGCTTCATAATTCAAATAATATATTTTAAAACTTATCTTCATCTTTATTCATTCTTTAGTTTGATTTAAGATATAAACTATTTATTAACTTTTTTATAACCATTAAAAAGCTAAATAAAATTATTAATGGTTCAATATTCTTATCTATATTAAAAATAAAGCGGGACGGGTAATATTATTACTTCGTTGAAGTTCGAAAATAGATAATATATGAAACGAAAGACTCTAAACAAGCAATTGAAAATACGTATATAATATAACCTGATAATATGTTTACAATAATAGTTTCATGAAGGAAATAATAGGTAATTATCAACACAAATAAAATAACAGCAATATCTAAGTACAGTTAATTAATTCTTATAGGAAGTTAGTCGACTGTTCTACATATCATGGGTGATAAATATTCAGGATGCAGTCTTTTTGAGTACTTGAGTTTTGAGTATTTGAGTACTTTACAGCCTCAGTGCTCAAACCACGCCCTGAAGATGACCCACATGTTTGGGTTGAAACGTTGGCATATTTATCACCCATGCCACTCTTAATTAAGTTTCTGACGTATCCTTTAGAAAAGTTAAAATTAATATGTACGTATTGTAGATGTATAATCCTGCGAATTCTGATGTTTTGGGGTTTTATAAAGAGAGTCATTTGTATTCAGCTTTACATCTTTATTTTTGACTTACATAATTTTTGAAAAAAAAAAAATAGAATTTGTTAGAAATAAAAATTATGTTTAAGTTAAAACAATTGCGGGAGATATAAGTATTTTATTAATCAAGGATTTCCCCTATACTACAAAGATAAAGTACAAAGATAAAGCATCAGCCGTTTGTTCTCGAGCCTCAATTTACCTAAATATTACAATGAAAGACTTGAATAAACTCTATTTTTGAAGTTATTGTCGTTACTAATTCAGCTACACTGAAACTAAGGACATTACAAATCACTTGTAATGTCAGTACAATAATAGTACAGATGTAACTGCCAATTAATTGGAATTGTATCCTATGTTATTCTCTAGTTACTGAATCGATGGCGCCCCAGGCGAAATTGGATTTGACAGTGACATGTCGAATATATATATACATATATATATATATATATATATATATATATATATATATATATATATATATATTATATATATATATATATATATATAACGATAATTAATTTGAATTGGGTTTGACAGTGGCATGTCAAATATATATATACATATATATATATATATATATATATATATAGATATAAGGAGGTGTGTATGTGAAAATACACGCCTTGATTTACTAAATAATTAAATTATATCATTATTAGAAAAATATTAATCTATGTATACATATTTCATTACAATAAGTACGGTTGCAATTTAGTATTCTATTTTATTACCAGGAAGAAAGAGGGTCAGTTGTATCAAAAATGTAAGCTATCCTTAAATGTTGTTTTGATTACTTTAGTATCTTCTTTTTATGTACAATTATTTTTAGTATTATAATATTTCTCACACATAGAGTGTGAGCACTATTATAAATATCGTTAATTGTGACAGATTGTAATATTTCTTAATAAATAAGGTTTTAAAAAAATCGTTGGTGATCTTTGCTTCTGGTAAGTTCCACTACTTAATATTAAAAATCGTATTACTATTTCATGCAGACCTAAATTTTTGAGATTGAAAACTGTGTATATCTGTTTCACCTTATCAATAGTTTAAAAATAAATAGCCATTAAATATTTCTTTATAGTTGTTACAGAATAAGTTGAGATTCATCCTTTAGTTGACCTTGGTTTTTAGCAAAAACCAACTACGATAATTTGTTGCAAAGCTGTAATTTCCGTTTTTTTTTCTGTGACCTGGAATGTATCCTTAATTATTATGATTATCATTAATTATAATCATATTTCTTTATTCTCTAGTTTAGCATATGTTTTCTTCTCCTTAAATTGGAAAAAAAAAGCCACCTTAAATTAATTTTAAGGTCTTAAAATCTCTACATATTAGAATCAATTCAATTTTACTTTTAGGATATTGTGTCTATTTTTCTATGAAGCAATATTCTGTTGCCTTAATTAAATATTTTCCTTATTATAGCTACAAAACAAACAAAAAATATAAATTACTTTTTAAATACACAAACTTAAACTTGCTGTTTTTCTACGGAAAATCAACCGTGGTTTATTGAAACTTTCTCGTAGCTCAGGTGTTATACCATCACCTGTTTATATATTTTCTTTAAGTTACGAGATATCCTGTTTATAGCATAAAATTTTACGATGGCTTTTGAATTGTAAAGATTGCGCACGAGAAGAATTCGATGATTTAGTGGAGCCCCAGAGCTCAACTCCGTAAGTTCAAATAGGCCTTATTATAGTCATGTATATGAGTCTTTATAATTAATTAACTGAGATTATAACGTTTGTCAGGTCATTGTTATAGTATTCGGAATCGTGGAGTGGTTCCTTGTTTTTTCAGTCTAGCATTAGGATCCAAGATCGGATTTCTTCAACAAGGATGAGTCTGGATTATCATTAAAGGATGCTGTAGGACAAGAAGTCATAGGTTTACGAGGAAGTGTAAAGTTGATTTGGTGGGATTTATTGGAATTTATTTCATTCCTTCAGTTTTTACACCATTTTTCATGTCTTGTGATGTGTGATTGAAGAGTTTGAGAAGCAGTTGATAGGTCATTATTAATTGAATGGACGCTTATGTCATCGGCATACGAGGTGATGACAGTGTTAAGATGGGTTTTGGAATGTCAGCTGTGTAAAGGATAGGACCTAGAACATTACCCTACCGAATATTTTAAGGAGGCATATTTTTAATTTGTATTTTAATTCATTTTAGCATATGGCTACGTTTCGGATCTTATACTCCCATTTTAAAGTCTATGAAAATGGCTGATTTGCTTTTTTTTATTTTTATTTTTTGGTTAATGAGTTATCTAACAATGACATGAGCAGCTAGTAAATAAAGTTTCATAATGAACGACTGCAATCCAGTAAAATGGCAGATGTAATGCTGTAGACAAGGGGAACACACATAATTGGAGGTGTAATACTGTAGATAGAGAGAGGGAAACACACGCGCACACACACTAGCAAGGGTAATTAGCGACTTCTAATCTTTGTTCCGCTGTTCCAGTTTTGTCTTTCAATTCCACAATCGATTATTTAGGACTATTACAGCTCGACCCCTTTCATTAAGTCATCAGTTTTTCTATTGTCGTTTGATTGCTTCATCCCCACGATTTTAATATCTAATTTCCTGTATGGTCCGTTTGATCTCTCATCGATGTCGATTGCATTAGCCCATTCATTACCTTAATTAAGCCTTTACCTGTACAAAAAAAAAAAGAGCCAATTACAACCCACTGCATATAAATTACAACCCACTGCATATCCTTTGAGTGATTAATTATAATTAACCTTTCTCTTTATAATTCCTTTGCCTTACTAAAAATAATTTAAGTCAAGAGATATATTTAGTTCATTTGAAAAATCATATATTTTTGTAAAATATGTAAAAAAGAAAGTTTTTTTTTCTGTTGACTTTACAGACCTTATAGATCTTTGCCACCTTAACAAGCCTGCAGCTCTCTTGCACTTTTCTTGATTCGAGATCTATCCCTCTGCGTTTCGTCTCCCACTTGGTTATGGAGGTATTTATTGTTGTGTAGAGGCTTTCTGGTGGATTACTCCGAGCTGCATACCCTGCCCATCTTATATGCCCATACTTTCTTGCCTTCATAACTTGAAATATTGATTGACCAGCAAACAGATCTTTATTATTATTTCTCCATAATACAATGTGCTGTGATAACTGAACGGAAACTCGGACTCAACCGGTTCACTTATCTAGGTCCCCAATCTATCAATTTTTTAGAAGAATTATTGCAAATAATATATTTTATATTTATATAATATTTACTATTTATATTATATTTAATATTTATATTATAAGTACAAATCTAAAGCTTAGTAAAGGAAATCGCCGTTATAATATTTTTATAACTCTTTTTTTAATATTAATTTTAGAGGAGTTAAAACTAATTTTACTGGTTAAAGCCTTCTTAAAACATTATTCTTCCTCTTTGTTTTTTTAAAATTTTTTTTTTGTTTTTCTGTTGCAGGTTAGTTTGAAAATGAATCTTAAAAGCTTGGATATTTGTTTCAATAAATGCATTATAAACTGAGTGAAAAAAAGATGTAAGTATCAATTTATATAACTGTCATCTAGATATTTTCAATACATGTTATATAGTAACATTGACGACCTCTGAGGTAGTGCTACTTGAATTTTTGAGAAGACAAATTTTCACGAAATTAAAATTTGATTTTTAAACTAATCTTATTTTGTGGTTTTTCTATTTTTGATGAATTTCAAATCAGAAAACATTGGAAAATATAAACTAGAATTCATGTAATTCTGCTTTCACTTTTTTTTTAAGAAGATAAGAATAATAAAATATCTTGGGAGAGGCCTTTGAGGGAAGTATATCTCTTAACAACAGTAATTTAATGACGGATTTCCAAATATTAATCATTCTCTTGCCACGGGTATATTCAAGCGGAGTGGTTTTTTTATTGGCATTCATTTTAAGGCCAAATTACCTCCCATGATTCAACTGCTCTATTTATCGTGAAATAAACTTGATATTGTCAGTAACTTTACACTATGTGATTCTAACATACTATGTGCGTATAATCACTAAAAATTATTATTATAAGTTTTTTTTACAATAACTTCTGCATTAGTCTACAAGCCAAAATGGAAAGAAATGCTTCGTACAAGCGACTGAAAATACTATAATATATTTTTTTTTCTTCATCGAAATTGAAAATTGAAAAAAAAAAATACTAAATATATACACAGACATACTGAAACTTATTTGGACGTACGCTTAACAGATTCACGGATCAGTTTTTGTATAATCTTTTCATTTTTCATGTTACCTTATTTCATTTGTTCCTACTTTGTTACCGTTATTATTTATTTCATAGTTTCCTGTTATTGTTATTATCCAATCATAACTTCGTAACTTTGTTACCGTTATGTTATATATCCTGACGTTGCTGCCGCTACTTTCTATCCATAACTTTGTTATTGTTATTTTATATTTACTTTAAGTCTATTCTACCTAGTTCCAGGTTCGAATCCCGGCTCAGGACAGAAACATTATTTATATTAAATCTATAAAGTGGGTACCATTAATCAGATAATTAATTAAGGGAGAAATTCTGGCGGTTGAGCATAATCTCGGTCAAATCACATCCTTGCACAACTGTTGAGCAAAAAACAGTGCTGTCCATAAATAGTACTAAATCCATGACACTTCATGAGTTGCAGTGGTGCGGTATTTTTTATTTTTTATTCTACTTAATTTATTTTAGTTATAGTTTATTCTAACTACATTTTCATACTATAACTTTCACCTATATATTATAATTTTATTTTTAATAGTTTCTCGCATTCATTGTTATCTGTTTTTTCTAAGCCCTGATGAAGGACTGAACTTTGGGCCGAAACATCGGAAAAAAATAAAAATTAATATAATTTTTTTATTTTTGCAATTTTTGACTGAATATCCCAATCATTCTTCTTCATTATAATATTTTCAATCCAAAATTTTAAGATTAACAACAGTAGCTTCCTGGTAAGTAAACAACAAATACTTACAACAAACAATTGTTGACGAGTACATAGATAGATAGATAGATAGATAGATAGATAGAAAAATAACTTTATTCTGGGACACAGTCCCTTGAGAATAACAAAATAGAACAAAATTAAAAGATTACATCTGGCCAAAATAAAATCAATCGAAAAAAAGAAAGAATGTAAAACAAATATAAGGTAAACATTCTATATACAAAACAAACGAAACTATATACAAAAAAATTAATACTATGACAAGGCACTTAAAGCTATTTGCACTGATAGACCAGTATACACTTTTAAGATAATAATAAAGAATTTAAAAAAAAAAATGCATCAAATTCTATATTAAAATCAGCTCGAATGGTTAGCAACTATATGACTGTTTTGGGGATAGGAATTGGAATAGGAGGGTTTTGAATGTGGATATGGATGGGGAATGTCGAATTATGATAGAGAGGGAATTCCAGAAATTGGCAGAGCGAACAATAAAGGAATTTTGGAATGAGGCAGATCTGTGAGAAGGCATGTAAAGGTTAGAAGGTCGTGATCTTGTGGACAGGGAATGGACTGAGGATTTGAACTGGAGAAGGTTGTAGGCGTAAGAAGGACGATGGTAGTTGATTTGGTAGAGTAACGTACCTTAGAAATATTGCCTTCGGAAGGAGGGGAAAAGCCACTTTAACTCAGCGTAGTGGTGAGAAACATGGGAGTATCTTGGGGCCCCGCCATATACATATTCTATTCTTCCGATTTCATATTAAATCGCACGGATGTAATGACAGACTTATAAACGCGTTTACCACTGGTGACGAGTTCATCTGGAGGCGAATGAAAAGAAGCTGGTTGATAGATCTCCCCTGAATCTTTAGGATACGCATTAGACGTTTCTTTCAAATTCAATTTAGTGTCAGGTTGTTAAGTACACGATATTACCTGAATTTACGAAGCTAGAATGTGACCTTCAAATTTATATAAATTTGTGCTATTATAAATAACATTTTTAAAAATTTGGACTGGTATGGAATCGGAGATGGGGCTTTTGACTCGTTGTAAAACGGTAGTTTATAATTAAAAGTTAAGTCAGTTTCGACAGCTACGTTGCATGCAAATTTATTATTATGTGCAGTTCTAAGCATGCAATAAAAATTTATGGTTTATTTGCTCTATAAAAAAATATGTAAAATAATATATTTAAGTGAACTACCAAAGATTACGAGCTCGAACCCCGGAGCCGGAGGTGGTTAGGGAACTTTTATTAACTATAACATTAATTCCCTGACACGGGAAAACCTCCTCAAAAGTCGCGAAAAAGGGGAAATATTTTTTAATCACGTCTTTTTTTTTTACAAAGGTGGAGGTCTGTTAAAACAAGTACAAATGATCCATGATTATATCTATAGTAAACTGTGCTTAGTTTATCTGTTTTAGGCTCGTTTAAAAGATTTTAAAACAATCTGATTTCCTTTAAGTTTGGATAACATTTATATTATTTAAGATGTTGCCAACGATGATAACCTCACTTAATTAGTTTTTTTAGTTATCGCCTCTTTTTCAATAAAAAACTAACAAAACATTTAAAAAAATACTATTTAAATATAATTCTGCCTGTTCAGATTTGGAGCATAGTCCAAATTAACTGTTCTGTTGCATTCGAAGCTTACTACTATAATTATTATAGTATGATACTATTATAATTTACTTCCTCTCCCTGTATTTAAGTTGTTAATAACATCCAATCATTGAACATTGAATTTTCGAGTAATGTTTTTCATGCTCATTTTAATATCTCATGACCTTTTATAAACTTAATTTGTTTACCCAATTTAATACCCTTAATACCTTTCAAATAATGGAATTTTAATCAATCGACATATATGGTTTGTTCAGAGATTAAATGATATTTTCCTTTAATTGACGTCAGTTATATTTAACATTACCGTATTATAATGATTGGTTCAAATAATCCGATCTGAATCATTTAACATACGAAATTAATCGGGTATTTTCTTTACTAATGATAATAAATCTTCACTAATATCTTGATTAATAATTCAAAATTCCTATTTGGGAATTTAAAGATTTGCCTTTCATATATTTACCATTATATGTAAATATAATTATATTGAATAACATATTCATATTGAATAAAATTAAATAAATATCGATCTTAAATTAAATTTTATTTACCAATGCTTTTTCACCACATGGTCATGGAGTTAATAAACGAAACATTAATTATATAAAAACATACAAAAAAAAAAATCGTGTTAAATATTTTTTTAAAAACATATTTATTGAGAGACATTACAATCTGTCGCAAATAAGGACATTCATAATAGTGTTTAGAGAGCACATTCACGCTCTATCATTAATAAATAAAAGTAAATATATATGAATTAAAATAAAGAAAAAGAAACTTAAACTAATAAAAATAACTACCCACATACCCTCATGCTTCTATGCAATATCTAAAAAAATAAATAAAAAATAAAAACTTTCACTCAAGATCTCCGAGCCAAGTCTCACTCGTGGAAGGAAAGGCAAGACTCTAGAAGATTCCAGCTCCTCTAATTCAGCCGTATTGCTGGTATTAAGGACCAGTAGAGTGTTGAATAAAATTAGAATAACTAATTAAGTTTACTAGAATAATTAAAAATTACGAAAATAATATTACATTTGACTACAAACAGTTTAAAGGATAGAATTAAAACTTTTACAATTATCCACTATTAGCAACTAATAAACTTAATGTAGCATCATGAAAAAAAAAAATCCAAAATAAGAACCTATCATAGAAATTGAAAAGTTTTTTTCACTTAAAATATTTAAGCGCACCTGTTATAATATTTACAATCAGCCGATTTGTTGTGATAAATAATGATTGCCAGTATAGGCACGAGGAAGTATAGCAGCGGCACCACGTCATCATTATTTACTTCCTTGATTCAGGTGAAGAGATCTCTCATCCAGCTCCTTTTAAGTCTCCTCCTGATAGGCATAACAGTCGTGATCATAAAAAGAAATTTGAAATTTCGAGGATTATAATTTTTGTAAAATATGAAAAGTATATCCAGTTTGCAACGTTGGAAATGGTCTAATTAAATGTTATTATATATTTCGTTTTCCTTACAAAACAACATTCTGATTTTTACTTTATTTATTTTAAAAGTTGGATTAATATTAAAATATGCTTTATCCTTGCTAATGTTGGCCAGCATTAGCGAAATAAATCATTTTATATTTATTCAGGAAATATTTGTTGTAAAATTTTGTTTGAGAATTTCATGTTTTCAAATAATTACCTATTCATTCCAGGAAGGCAAATTTAAATATATTTTCGTAATTTTTTTTTTTTTTAACAATATAGAGTACGATTTTTTTCCGAAACAAGCCTACTTGCATATTTAATGCATTAGTGCAACAACCAATACAAATTTCAGCCTCATCGCCATTGTCATTTTTATAATACAGTAATTAATAGGCTAGTGAAATATAAAGGAAGAATTATAAATTTAATAAGAATAAGAAAGCTAAGAAATATATATTT